AAACGTCAATATTCTGTATGTGTGTTTTCTACTAGAAAAGGCACACATAAGTAATTCTAAGGACCGTAGCGTTTATCACGCTGCGCTGACTATGCAACGTTTGCACGAAAAGGCAAGTGTCCCAACGCTTTGCTAAGACGACACAGTGGTGGCACCTACCCATCGCCTTGCATTCTAGTTTTTATCACCTCCGAGATGGGTGCACGCACTTTGTTTTTTAGGATAACTGCCAGATAGCGCTCATGTCTTACGTGTGACGTGACTTTATGCGCTTGTTCGCCTCCGCTGCACGCTCGAAGCACTCTAACGCAGCGCCTCCGGAATACCATTCACCGATTTTCTTATCCAGAACATCAGATAAATGTTTTGTTCACTCTCTCCAGATGCAAGACTATCGTCTTTCGACGACATTTGCAGTGTAACATGCAGATACGGGGCGAATTTTTTTTCTTACGGTTAGAGCACAAGTTGGTCCAATAATTTCTCTCTTAAGTTTATTACCAACGTGATGTTTCGTCTTTCTCAGGGCTGGCGATCTCGCCATTACCTACAAGACAATATATACGCACAAAATCACGTGACAGCAACGACAACTTTTTGTTTTTACAAATAATGAGCAATTGAAAGAGCCTTTAATCCTATTCGCCACACTGGGCCGAATAGTTTATACATTACAGGTGAATAACTCAAGGAAATGCGTAAATACTCAATTTCATTGGCAGACAAAGGCAATGATGGCTTTCTGGTGCATCGGTAACCGGCAGAAACGATGCAATCAGTTCCTATTATCATTCTTACAGATTCAAATTTATTTCTGGCAAAAGTGACAGTGGCTTTTAGTAGTGGACGACATGTACTGTCATGCCCCGCCGCGGTGGTCTAGTGGCTAAGGTACTCGGCTGCTGACCCGCAGGGCGCGGGATCGAATCCCGGCTGCGGCGGCTGCATTTCCGGTGGAGGCGGAAATGTTGTAGGCCCGTGTGCTCAGATTTGGGTGCACGTTAAAGAACCCCAGGTGGTCTAAATTTCCGGAGCCCTCCACTACGGCGTCTCTCATAATCATATAGTGGTTTTGGGACGTTAAACCCCACATATCAATCAATCAACATGTACTGTCATGTGATTTTGCGTGTATATATGACTGATCCTGAAGATAAAGCTTTGGTTGTTGAAATATATTACTGTGTTCGTCTAGTATCTCTTCTTTGACATTGTGTGTTTCTGCGCTATGCTACAATCCAGTTCACGATGAACCAACAAGTTCGAATTGGTACCTTTGTTGACTTCACTGCGTCCTCGTACTGTTTGCGCCGTGTCTGTTTTTTTTTTTTCCATGTATAAATCAACTAGCTCAGCAACAAGCCCTGTTGAGTTTATTGCCTCGTAAATTGACTTCTGCAAAAGTCATTATACTGTAAAGTTAGGTAGTGCACTTTTTTACATGGACAGCAGGGACAAGAAGGACACATCTGGAACTAAATTTATTTCAGAAAAATACTTCATATATATACACCCACGCTGACCCTGAATGACACAGAAATGAAATAACATGCACTGAAAACTTATCCAATATCAAATTTCAAGTGCCTAACAAGAACATAATCACGGCACATGTAGAAATGAAGCACAATATGTGCAAACTCAAGCGATAAAAACCTAAGCATGTACAGCCTATACACTTTAATGAAATAAAACTGTAAACCTAAAAAAAACTTTTAAAATTGTACAGTTCAGGGCGATTGGCAAGACGTTCAAGTAGAACTTTTACATGCTGAACACGGATGTTAGCAACAAGAACCCGTGTTACTGATGTAATCCCATGCACTTTCAATCAAAGCCCTTTCAGGAAGGTGGCCTATTGATGATAAAAGCAATGATTGGCTGTCACAGGTCCCGTTAATTAGGGAGTCGATCGCCTGGCTAATTCCAAGGGCCAAAGTATCGGCACACCGAACTGCTCCATGAAAGCGTGGACAATTTAGAAGTGGTCCTATTTCGCGCGCCAGTGTATGCCGGTTGTGGCCCAAAGAACAAGTCAGAGCCGAAAGCTGATAAACGAAACAGAATTATATTCTCAAATATGGCAGATCAAACGATACACAAATATGCACACTCGACAATAGTTGAATGCAATATGTCACCAATCAAATAACGTGCTACACAGTATAATCAGCTACACTCGAAACAACGGACACAAACAATATGTGCAAAACAACAAACAGTGCAATCACATGCATCGAACAACCTTAAATACCTAAAGACTGAAGAGTTCAAAAACTTATTCAGTCCAAAATTCTTGGAACAAAGTTTGAATGATACTCCTCCAAGAATCACTCACTCAAAGTCCAGCGCTGTTGTCGATCCGCTGCCCTTAAAGTTTCTCTTCCAGGAAACCTCGCGTCTTCAATTGGCCGCTCTCCAAGCACCAAACTTCGCCGGTAACACGTTGGCTTCCCTGCGTTGCAATTGCGGGACGTGTCTTTGCTTTCTGACAGTAGTCTCACACTATTCTTTACTAGCCTTCACTCTTCAGGCGAAAATCCTCTTCATTACTTGCTTTGTCCCTGATGACAGAAGCCTTCGCCAACACGGCGGAATGACCCTACGCACACTTGCACAAAACTTTCATCTCTGGCCTACGCACACCGGCGCAAACTTTCTTCTTCTCCTGATCTCTCTTCTCCGCTGCTCGCTTAAATATATTTTCCGCTAGATTCCAGGAAATTCGAATCGTTTTGTCGGCATGATGCACAGTCAAAGCTGGAGAAAGGGCGTGACGTTTCGAGGACCGTCCGCGACTCATGATGCAACTCTACATTACCACGCCCCTTTCCTTCCAGATCTTTCCAGGGCTTGCTTAGTGGCCGATGTGAGGAGGTTGGTCGGCGAAACTACGCCTACGAGGGAAAGAGACTGCACGCCCGGGGTGTCTGGTTGCTTGTTTTCTTCTTTAGCTTTGACCTTGAGGCGTCTTTCTGGCGCTTGGTATCGTCGCTGTCGCCAGGACTCGGTGGTGCACGTTTTTTCAGAGAGCTCATTTGTGACATTGGCTAATGCAGCGGTCTTTTCTTTTGTTATTGTGAAATCGTTCAACTATTTCTCTGCTTTCCGTTATTAAAAATTACTGTGGTGTGATCAAATACTGGCAAGCAGCCACACTGAGAACAGTCTTGCTTAAGGTGGGAATAATTATTTATTTCTAAAGATCTCTTATGTTTCATCAGCCTCGTGACTTTAAGTGGAAGCATGTAGTACTACATTTGTAACACTGGCTCTTGTTGCCGACTTACGTGTTGAGTACCTGTAAGTTCTACTTGAGCGTTTTGCAAGTCAACCCGAACTGTACATTTCTGTAAGTCTTTTTAGGTTCATGTTTTTTTTCTTAGGAGTTTATAGGCTGCACATGCTTCATTCTTATTGCTTGAATTAGTGCATATTGAGTTTTGTGGATGAAAAAAACATGAATTGTTTAGCTTATTTCTATACCTGCCATGATTATTTTATCGTTAAGTGCTCGAAACTTGATAGAGAATAAGTTTTCAGTGCTTGTTATTTATTTTCTGTGTCGCTCAGTGTCAGCCTCGTTGCATATATACAAACTATTTTTCTGAAATAAATTTAGCTGCAAGTGTAGCGAGTGTCGTGTCCTTCTTGCCTCATTGTCCGTGTAAATATGTGCCCGACTTAACATGATAAAATGATCAGTCACCAACTAGCCTGGCTCTTGACCTTATTATACTGCAGAAGTTTTTGAGAGCACAGTTACAGGGGTTTGTCGCATAGTGCTTTCTGCCTCCTTTAGTTCCAGCAAGCGTGTTGAGAGTTATACATATGTATGTTGAATGATGAGGTGGGGGCAATAGTACATAACACACATGTACACAAAACACAGACATTCACACATAACACTTGCACACGTGCACATGCTTCATTCTTATTACTTGAGTTTGTGCATATTGTGTTTTGTGGATAAGAAAGCATGAATTGTTGAGCTTATATCTTCACATGCCACAATTATTTTATCGTTAAGTGCTCAAAATTTGATATAGAATAAGTTTTCAGTGCTTGTTATTTTTCTGTGTTGCTGACTGAGAGATTTTTCTAGAATAAATTTAGCTGCAAGTATATTGAGTGTTGTGTCCTTGTCTCGTAGCCCGTGTAAATATGTGCGCTACTTAACGTGATAAAATCATCAGTCACGAAGTAGCCCGGCTCTCAATTTTATCATACAGCAGAAGTTTTTTAGAGCACAGTTACAGGGGTTAGTCGCATAGTGCTTCCTGCCTCCTTTAGTTCCAGCAAGCGTGTTGAGAGTTATACATATGCATGTTGGGAGATGAGGTGGCACAATGGTACATAACATCAGTTCAACAGCGTGTGATATGACCTTGTGCTCTTTTACTTTCTTTTTCATGGAATGGGTGGCTCCTTTTTCAGGGTGATCACGAGTGCACTGATGGAATTCTATATTATGTGTGATTGTAGCACTATATAGAGCCACTTGGCCATGGAAACTATGCACATCGTGAGGCTCAAGACCTGCCATTTCTTGTAAAACAAATTGCGCTTGTGGCATCATTTATTGACAGAAGAGTTGAGTGTGCTCTCGCTTAATTTAAAATTCAGTTGTAAATTGCACACCACATGCTGCGCTGTAGTATTTGCCTCACATGTTCGCAGAAGCCTCGGCTGCCAATCGAGAGCATCTTCTGACGACATTCCAAAACTGTTGCAAAGCTGCGGTAGGAGATATACTGCCCATCTACATTTTAAAAAGCTCAGTTTGACTAGCTAAATTTATAACATTCTTTTTGGCTAGCTGGAATTCTTTGTCTACTTTTGTATCATTTGTTTCCTTAAGAATGTCACCTTCACTTTACAAAGTTGTGATGGCATGATTAAGAAAATTCTTAGTCATAATTACATTCACAAGCAGCAACGATAATGATTTCTTCTATTAATTTCGTCTGCTTCCTTTTTCTTTTCTTTTTTTGGCGCAGCATCTACTGGACATGCTGGTGCAAGTCGAGCATGCCAAGAAGAAAAAGATGTTGGTTGTTTGACAGCTTCAGTTTCAGAACACTGGTGTTCTAAACTGGTGCTGCTGTGGTGATCGCACCTGCAATCACTGATAGAGTGGGATTGATACTGAGTCAATGCGTATTGTGTACATACTTCAAGACTTTGTGGTTTACAGTAATGTGTGCCCTTCAGTGCTCTACGAAAACTTCCTTCTATGGTAAAAATCGTAAGCGAAGCCCTCTAGTGGAGAAAGTCAAACAGGAATCGAAAAAGTTTTGCAGGGATCCTGTCAGAGTGAATCTGCACAAAAGCCTCATCGGGCGAACTCGTGTCTGGAGATTGTTTCCCACGCAAGCTGAAGCTCTTGCAGTTGCCCGCACCCTAGACGACGACATCAGAGTCTTCTCTTATGAACTTCGAGAGAGCGATGGGGGGAAGCGTGCTTTCATTGTGACCCACCCACTTGATCTTTGGAATGTGCTGCAGATGCGCAAGCCTTCCGATCGCTGCATGTACGAATTGATTGCGGAGGATGCACCCTGCAAGCTTTACTTTGATCTCGAGTTTGAACGGAAGCTCAATCCAACCAGAGACGGTGTCACTATGGTGAAGCACTTCATCGACGTTGTGTGCGGCGAGTGGGTTGATCTCTTCGGCGACCACTGCAGTCGGGAAGACGTCCTCTGGCTCGATTCCAGCACTACGAAGAAGTTCAGCTGCCATTTGATTTTTCCAAGAATGCGCATGTTTCTGAACAACCGTGAAGCGGGTGCCTTCGTTCGCCTGCTGTGTGAGAAAATGAAACGCCCCGCGACGACAATGGCAAAGTCTGCCTTGGCTGCTTCTGAGGCTTCCCGGGCAAGCCCGTTGGTGCTCAATAAAAGTGGCAAGGAAGTGCTCTTCTGCGATGAAGCAGTTTACACACGCAATCGCAACTTCCGTCTGTTCCAGTGCACAAAACTCAACAAGAACACCCCGTTGGTGCTCTCCAAGAATGACTGCTACGTCCGCTCCTTAGGGAGATTCCCTGAAGACAGGGATATATTCCTGGACAGTCTTATTACGTGGCCTCATCAGCAGACTAGCAGACATCTGCTGCAACTTTCCGCAGGCTGTGGTCCAGTGAAGCGGAATAATGGCTTGCTGGCATCTGTGGCTGAAAATAGCCAAGGCCTCAAGTCAATGAACTCGCCGTATCCAGATATAGATGAGTTTATTCGAGGCATCATCAGTCCACGTGGGACAATCCGACAAGTGTCTCACTTTGCGGAAACTGACACATTGGTGTACGATGTGCTAGGCTACCGGTTTTGTGAGAACATTGGCCGCGAGCACCGCAGCAATGGTATCATGTACGTGGTTGACGTCAATGTTGGTAGCTTCTACCAGAAGTGTTATGATCCTGACTGCAGAGCCATGTCGTTCCGCTCGGTCCCTCGACCCCTTCCACCCGAGTGCCTGCCGTCTTTCTGGCTCAAGCAGATCCCTGATGAAATGCTGGTCTAAATGAATCTTCTTCGCTGTTTATAGTTTTATTTGTTCACTGCAGTTTCTTTTTTTTGAAAGCTATGTAGAATATGTGTCTCTGAAATCATCCGGTGTTAACATGCATTGCCTTTAAAAAACCGCCCTGTAGATAATCATGCAAGTGTCTAGCATTATTTGAAAGCAACCTATATTTCAGCATAATTGAGGACAAACTGTTGCACTGTATCTATAGCTTTAGTGCTTTCTTCGGAAAGTGCATAGATATTTGTATATAAATCTTTTGTATTGACATTGACTGTCCTTCAAATAGGGGAAGAACCAAATACTACCAAATGTGACAGCAGTGTTGTGCTGGTAACAATGTACGAGTGTTCCAGGGAAATGGTTCGTGCTTTTATACACTGGAATTTTGACCTTGGCAACATGTAGCTGGTATAATAAATTGCTAATCTTTCTTAGTCGTCCAAGTATTCCAGAGCGTTCCACACTTGCCGTCATGGCTACCAGCGGCACTGATTGACACTCGCAGGTTTAAAATGCGCATATATACCCTATAAAGTGGTTAGTAAGACGACTGCCGTGGTAGCTTAGTGGTAGAGCATCAGGCAAATCATTCCGAAATCTCAAATTCATTTTTTGCTATTGTGAAACTTTCAGTTCTTCCTCGTACTCCCACCCTGTAGGAAATTCCCGGCATGGCAGTGCAATGCATGATAAAAATGAGTTTAATCTTTCTCTCTCTCTCTCTTTTGCATGGCTGAGCAATGCCTAATAAAAATTAGGTCAACCTTTCTCTCTATTTTTTATGTCGTCATTCTTTCGCTTGTGTTTAGTTTAATGAGTTCGTATTTTTTGTTATTCTATTTCTGCTTTTGCAAATAGGTTCACTTTTTTGTATCGACTGCTGTGTTTCTACTTGGCTGACTATGAACTACAGTAAATTCTTGTTAACACAAACTGTTAAGACGAATTCTTGCTTAATTCCCATAGACTCAATGCAAAAGTCTGCTTATGACGAACCGCATAACAGGCCTCGTCTTGTAAGACGAACTCTCGCACTGACTAACAACGATAGGGATTCTGCACAAGGAATATGATAGTCTATATGGGGTCATTCAAGCAAACAAGAGAAAGCAAAACGTAAAAAAAAACTTATTACAAAGACTCAAAGCAAATAGAAAGCGAATTGCAACATCGAGGGAAAAAGTGAGATTAGTGAAAAAAAAAAGTCAGCGCATAAAGCTGGCGTCTCCCTGCTAGCCTATCGGTGGAGGAGGGCTGGCTTTATCAGGAAAGAAAGCAACAAAAAGCATTCGTGCTTTTGTGTTCTCGCGTTCTGCAGTTCCCCAACTAGAGTACAGTGGAAGACAGAACACGAGCTAGGCCACAGGGAAAAAGCAAGGGAAGGGGGACAAAAAAAAAGTGCCAATGAAAGTAAAAACGGGAACAAAGATTGTCTGGGCATTTTAATCGCATGAAATCAAAACCACATGCGACACTAGCACTCTCAACAGAGGGGTCAGATGCATTGTCATCGCCGTCGCACAATGGTGTCCAAAGACATGTTTTGGTTAGTTTGAGTTGTTTTGCATAGGGCCTGTGCAAGTTTTATCTGTTCCCAATGAAATGTAGCAAATTATGATGTGCCATTTTGATTATCAAAGTGCACGACAAAGGAAGGTCAATTTGCACACCAAATATAGCTGTGTCGTGTCTTTTTTTGGGTGCCAGAGGCTTGTGATTGTGAGTAGCAATAACTGAGATCTTCAGCTGCAAGTCCTTCAGGAAAAGTTACTGCAGGCAGAAAATTTTAAAAATCTCCGAGCCCTAAAGAAAAGCTTGACTCTCATAAGCAACTTGACGCATATTGGCTTTAGTAGTGGTACGCAATGAAGGCATATCAAAAAGGGATAGCAAAGCCATTAAAACAGCCCCTTAGCAAGTTAACAGCGAGAAGAATTAATTTCCCATTCATAGTAATAAGGGCTGCAGCGCGAGCACGAATGTGCTAGAAGAAACAGACAAAGTCGAGGTACGGAAGGCAAAAGAGGACAACACGAGCGCTGACTACCAACTGAATTTTATTCGCAGCACACATGATAATATATACAACAGGAAACCTTTTGAACAGCACACGTGAGCAACGTGACATATTCTGTGGCATGTTCTGATAAAAAGAAGGTACTAAAACTAGCTAACCTTTATCTAAAAGTGCGAACTCTTTTTCATGCAAGGCCACTGAAGGTTGGCTTACGCATCCGTCACCATTTTTTCTAATAAAAAACGCTTCAGCTATTTCCCGAGTTAACTTGTCCATGTGGCGTGCCAGCACACTCACGCCCGGAAAACGAGGCTGGCACCCGCAGCTTTTGCAGTGCAAAACAAGGTTTGAACTGATACCTTTGCATATGTCATTCACAAGTTCTCCTAACCTTTTATTAATGCACCGCCCAGTTTGGCCTATATAACAACGACCGCACGTTAAAGGAAGCATGTAAACAACACCAACAACGCATTCTACAAATTTATTTATGTGTTTTACGGCGCATGTCCAACTTTTTTTTAGTGATTCCACTAAGTCGCTCATCCGTCATTCTGCAGATCTGGCTTACTTTGCACGGAGCTGATAAAACTACATCCACACCATATCTCGAGCCTACCTTCTTCAAACCATGAGATATATTGTGGAAGTATGGGATGACTGCAACTCTTTTTCGCTCTTTATTTCCTCCTGCATTTTCTTGTTTTTGTTTGATTTTTTGCAACAAGGCTTCGCACACTGAAGAAATTACAGATTTTGGAAATCCTGCTGACACAAGTCTGGTAATTTGCATTGTTACACTATCAGTAATCTTTCATTTCATTTCATTTCATTTATTTTCTCTCAATGCACAAGGCGTTACAGAGAGGAGTGGTGAAAAACAAACAAACAAACTGTACAAACAAATGGAGCATGTTTAAAAAGGGTATGCGTTTATGGTATTCTTGAAGTTGGTCGGGTCAGTGATGGATGCAATGGAAGCGGGAAGGTGATTCCAGTCCGTGCTTGTTTTGGGCACGAATGAATTAAAATGGAGGTTTGTACGGCTGCTTGGAATTCCAACTTTGAAGTGGTGATCGCTGCGGGATGAAATGTAGGATGGCGGCAAAAAAAGCGAGTTACTCAGTGAGTGCATGGTATGGTACAACTTGTGGAAGAGGCACAAGCGCGAGATTTTGCGGCGAAATGATAGGCTGGGTAGATTTAAGGTTGACTTCATATGGGTTACGCTTGCTGTACGGGAATAGTTCGACAAAATGAAACGAGCGGCGCGATTTTGAATTGCTTCGATGCTACTGATATGGATGTTTACGTGGAGATCCCATACAGATGATGAATATTCTAGCTTTGGTCGGACTAATGTTTTATAATGTTTAATGTGTGGGCATGACTTGGATAAGCCAGCACTTACAGCCGACGAAGCAATAGCTCTCTTGACCAGTTTTGTGTGGCAGGAGGCATAGTTTAACAAGGGTTTAACACTTCGCGGTTGGTATTCCCAGCATACATGATTTGGAAACAATGTAATATTAATATCTAAGTACCTCAGTGATCCCTGTTGGGGAACTTCGCAAGTGAAGTCTAGCCCACCTCCATGTGTTTTAAGAGCACTCAATACAAGTTCAGCCGGGTTTTTTCTGTTAGTTACGGAAGGCAGCAGAAAAATTAAATAGTCGTCCACATATCTGAAAGCGGTTTGCACCAAATCCACAATGAAAAACCACAGTGAAAAACTTGTGGATTTGGTGCAAACCGCTTTCAGATATGTGGAATATTTCACTTGAGAGCATAGTTTTTGCCATGCTGAGTCAAACAAATCCTTTTCTTGTTCCTTTCCTCCCCATTGTAAGTATACTTCATTCAGTGTTTTCAAGCAAAATATTTAGGCATACTTGGCATGTTAGCATTTGGTTTTTGGGGACACTTATCGTAATATGAACAAGTGGTCAAGCTCCCTTGGAGTTCATTTCAAAGGAGGTCTGCTGTACGTTTCCTACTCCAGCATTTCTTCTGCAAAAAAAGTTTCATTTCAGTAGTATGACAGTGAAGTAGCCAGGAGGTGGCAGTGTTGTACACGTTCCTCTAGCACAGGATTGAAAGCGCGTTCCTTATCTATTTGGGACAAGTTCCCGTTACAGGTTCCTGTACTGCATCCAATTATATTTCGAAAATTACAAAGTGTCTTACATTAATCTTACATTTCACTTTTTTATACAGAAATATTGTATGTGGCAAATAATCCTGAAGCGAGATCAAGCTACATACATTCTACAGATTTGGCATCGCCAACAGTCGGTTATACATAGGTAACAATAAATCTAAATGAATGTACCAAGTTGATTTTTTACAGACGACCGGACATAGCACAAGCATGTCTTAACTGCAGCTTAAGTGGACGTTAATTTCAAGTCCCACACATGTGCTGGGGTGCGACAGCAGTGCCAATTTGATACAAATCCGAATTTCTGCGTTGAGCTTCGCTGAAACCATGAAATTTGCTAAAAATGCGCCACTCTCCTCAAGGAATGCAGACGGGCTACAAAACGCAGCAATAAGCTCTACTCCTCAAGTTTAGGGCATAAACACAAATATCTATTATTTCAAAAGTGTAAATTCGGCAGATGTCTGCTTGGTTGGGATAATAAAAATGAAAAAAAAAAGAAAACTCCAGTTAATATTTCTATTAAGACACCCAATGTTTTGAAGCCTGATCGACTTTTTTCTTCGGGGATGACAAGGCCCGAGTTATTTGCCACGACTCGTTGCAAGCCTTGGAAGTACAGAGAGGGCAGCGTCCTCAGCAGTGCGGTTGTTGTCTCGCAATATCTGCTGGCTGTGCCAGGATTCAAAGGGAAGCCGTCGGCGAATGTTTCTGTTTAGAAGAACACTGCGCTGTAAGGTCTGATATGCTGGCCTACCCGCTTACAATGTTCGGCCTCTGCGCTTCGTTCACTGTTGATTTTACGGAAGTCATTCCTGTGCCGCCGCATTTTTTCATGGAATTTCTTGGTTTAGTCGGCGCACGCGATCCTGCACACGATGCCCTGCGCTATTCCCGCAGGTGCAAGGTCTTTGGGCCAGCAAATGGAAGTGCCGATGATGGTGGAAGGCTTGTGGCAACCTTGACTCCTGCCTTTTTAACTTCGCTGGCACCTGGATGGATGGATGGATGGATGTGGCTGTACCCTTTAGATCGGGCGGTGGCTAGCGCCACCAAGCCGTAATACTTAATGAACCAAAAGATAGATTTTTTTTCCCTTTAAATAGTGAGGTTGAGTATTCGTAGTTTGCAGTGAAGGTTTTAATTTTCACTCGAGCCTTGACTTTAGCCACCAATCAGATAACCTCCTTCTAGTTAATTCTACCCGCCTAAAGTCTATTTTGCCCTCGCTGTCCCTAAACCTCAGTGCTTTGAAAAACTCTGTGCCATCATCCTGAACTATAGGGTGAAGCCCTTTACAGAACATTATCAATTGTTCGGCAGTTTCTTCTTCCTCTCCACACGCACTGCATACCATGTCTACCCCTTCGTATTTGGCCCGATATGTCTTGGTTCGCAATACTACCGTCCTGGCCTCAGGTAATGGAGAACTATCTCGAAGATTATCATAGATCCTTTCCTTGGCAATTTCCTGCTTAAAAGTTCGATAAACCTCTAGCGTGAACTTCTTAATCATGTCGATTCTCCACATATCGGTCTCAGCTTCCTTCACCTTCTTTTTAACCGATGATTCTGTTTGGATTGGCCCCCTGCTGTT